AAAAATCAGTAGCCCTCCTATACACAAATGATAAAAGGGGTGAGAAAGAAGTCAGAGAAACATCACCCTTTACAACAGCCACAAATAATATAAAATACCTTGGGATAACACTAACTAAACAAGTGAAGGATATCTGTTGTTGTTGTACTCTTTCTGCTCATGCTTAGGCAGTCATGTTGGTGAGACTTTGTGTGGAAAAACAATCTCACTGAAAACTCTCTGTTCCTCTGGCTTTTGCAATCTTTCTGCCCAATCTTCTGCAATGATACCTGACCTTAGTTGTGAGTGTTTTATTGTAAATGCATCCATTGAAACTGGTTGAGATTTACCTTTTAAGTGACTTCATGTCTTATCATTCAGTGCTGAAGACTTTCCTATACCTTGGCCATTTGCAACTTCCAGATATTTGAGTAAATCCTTTCCATATTGCTCTATTGTGATGTTTGCACAGCAGAATGAGTATAGATAACAAGAAAGTGAGCCTAGGGAGGTAAATTAATGTTAGAGTGCTTCCCTAGCATATTTTAGTCCCCAGGTATAACTCTCAGAACTTGAATGAAAACATTCTGTGTGTATTAATTCAGAAAAATGAGAAGAAATGAGTTTGAAAGTTTTAACCTTAAATAATATTTGAGTAAACCGATATGTTAATACAATGAAATATATAGTACTTCAAAAAATTTAATCTATTAATCAGTTTTAATATTTTATGTATTAGATAAAAAGCAAATATAGAAAGTTCAAAGGTAAGGCCAAGAATTATATTATTTGTAATATTTGAGAATATAAGTATGAACATTTGCCACCAAATGACCAATAAAGCATGATTTTACATTCAAATTATTCTTACAAAATGATACATGTCTATGGGATATTTTGATTTGTTCCTGGGAATCTGGAAAGATCTGGGTAGTCTTGAAATCATAACATTGTACTTACTCCAAGCAGAAACTCCAAAAAGCCCATTAACTCACTTTTTTCTTTTTGAAAGGCAGCTAGCATGTAACAGGCATGGCATCTCTATGTCAAAATTTTCTTTCTGGATGCCTTTGCCCCCACACAGCAGGAAGTAATTTTAAGAACACAATGCCCACATTCCCAAGAGGTGGTGTGGGTGGTTTTTGGTCTTTCAATGGGTTATGGATAATTGTCATTGTTTACGATGGATGGTTACAAGTTGTTTACTGATAATGGTCAGGAAAAAAGCTAAACAAAGGAAATTAGACTTGAGGATCTTGTTTTTGTTTTTGTTTTTGTTTTTTAAGAAGAGGATAGATAAGAGGGACGTTATTGAATCTACTTTGAACAAAAAGATGTAGAAATGATAAATAAAGGGAAGGTTATTGAATGTACTCTGAAAAAAGATAGAAATGATAGGATAAAAAGGAAGATTATTGAATCTACTCAAAAAAGATATAGAAGTGATGGATAAAGTGTAGATTATTGAATCTACTCTGAAAAGAAAATAGAGAGAATATGAATATGATAATATAAAAAGGTAGATTATTGATTCGGCTTTTAAAAGGTAACTAGTAATTTTAAATATTTTACATTGGATTGGATTTTTTGTATATTGTATCCAAATTATGTATATTGATACAAAATTGAGATTGATTTTGTTAGAAAATACTGTACATATATTTCTAATCTTGCTCAAGGTATTGTACCTCTACATTTCATTTAACAATGTAATGTAATTTGCTAGTCCTTGAAAGTTATTATTATCAACTAATTAGGATATAAAGAAATGAAAGTTAGTAGTTAGTCATTACCATCACACTTACAGTCATATTAAGTATGCTTTCAAGATCAAACAGAGATATATTTTAGATAGACAGGTCATCTTTAAACACTTCAGAGAGCTGCAGAATATGGCATTTATGATGTTTTTATTACATAGTTCTTTTTCTTTTTTTTTGACAATGAGACATATCTGCTCCTGGCAACACCAATCTACTTCAGAGAAGATGATGGGCATCAAATGAACTCCTTATGGAGTTTACTTTCATTCTGGTAAAAGTTAGCCACTATGCAAGAAAATGCCCTTGCATCAACTTTTGGCAATATGCTGTCCAAAATGACAAGCAGGACACAAAATAAAGGACTGCCAATCCTTGCCAAGACAAGGTAGGAAGGCTCTTTAGAAAATCTTGCTTCACAGATGAGTCTGTCAGATATGCTAAGCCTATAGGCTTTAGAGGATGCCCCAACGTTGCAGAGAAATATCAAGTGACTGTCCAGGCAGCCAGCTGTTTCTGTCCTAACTCACATTTTTTGGAAGTCACTTGTTTGCACTTCCTGTTTAACTAGGTAATATCATTTCCTTCTCGGGTCTCTGAGGGGATTGAAGATTAGATAGTTATAGTTTTTCTTGTTAACCAATTCAGAAAAGAAACTCAATAAGAGGTGTAAAGTGCATAAGTTTGAAAGACATCAAAATATAGTTATCAATTGATAATACAAATTAGGATAGAAAGTGAATTAGATACAATCCTTTGGATTCACAAAAACAGGATAGAGAATGGAATATTTTTGCTGGATTTGTCAAATGCATATGGACTAGACATTGTTGATGTATTTATTGCCTGTATATATATTGCATATAGTTTTTGTATTTGTTGTATATATTTTTTCTCATATTAGTTATAACTTTTTTAAAAATTTTAGACAAAAAAGGGGAAATGTGATATTTTATTTGTGCTCTAACAAATAAAACTCACCTGGGGATCAGAGGACAAAGTCAGCCACTATATTAAACATAGAGGTATGACCTTGGTAGCACATGCCTTTAATCCCAGCATTTAGGAGGCAGAGATTCATCCAGATCTCTGTGATTTCAGGGCCAAACTGGGAACAGAGCCAAGCATGGTGGTCCATGTCTTTAATCCCAGCTCTAGTTAACCATAGCAGTCTGGAGATCTGTACAGACAGATAGGAAGTGATAGAGCTGGGCAGAAAGAGGAAGTGATATAGCTGGGCAGAGAGAAGAAGTAAGATGGCAGGGCACAGAAAGGTATATAATTTGTGAGTATATAAGAAGTAGCTCTCTTGGGCTGAGGATTTCCTAATGGTAAGAACTTGTGGCTGGCTTGCTCTGTTCTTATCATCTTTCAGCTTTCATCCCAATATCTGGCTCCAGATTTTTTTTATCAATAAGACCATTTAGCAATTTGTGTTACAAGAGAAGGCCAAAATATGTTAAAATGTCTTATCTGATGGGAAGCCACTTGGAGTTCAAGAAAAATGGAGTAGCTACAAAAAGTGAATGAAGAAGTATTTTTTGGAATAGATCCTCCAGTATCAGGCCTTCTTGTTGATAGTTTATAGATCTGAGACAAAATGCTTTCCCTTATTTCTAATGTTCAAATTCATGAGATACAAGTGGCTGCCCTCATCCAAGAAGTACTATGCTAGTTTGTTGCAAAGCAATGAATAACCAACACATTTATAAAATTGAATATTTGGAGGCTCAAGCGCAAATGTATGGGTCTCCCTGTGAAGGGAAAATAGAGTAGATTTTCCAAGTAGACAGGGGATATGTGGGGATGGGAGCAGGAGGAATCAGGCAGGAAGTGGGAGGGACAGATGGAGAGAACACAGGGAGAGACAACTGAAAGGGGGGAGTTTAATGGGAGCAAGAAACTTGGTGCAGTAGATACTCCCTGGAATCTATGAGAGTGATCCTAGTGAGGTCTCCTAGTAAGGAGGAATATGGAACCCTAAATGGCCATCTTCTATAACAACACAAGTTTTCTAGCAGTGTGGCTAGGATGTCAACCAAGCCACAAAATTTACAACCTACAATCTGTCTTGCCTGCAAGATGTTCTGGGGTAATGATGACACAGAATGTGTGGAAGTGACCAACGAAAAACTTGTCCAACTTGAGGCCCATGCCATGAGAGGTGCCCATACCTAACACCACCTGGATGACCAGGAACCAGAGGCAGGACAGCTTAGAGACCCAGGATAGAACCAAACACGACTGGGCGAAAAGTCAATGAAATGATTCATACTGATATTCTACTATAACCATAGATTGGTGCCTATCCCATTTGTTATCAAAGAAGTGTAATCTAGCAACTGATGGAAGCAGTAGCAGAGACCCACAGCAAAACACAAGGTAGAGCCAGGGGAACCAAGAAGAAGAAAGGGAAGAAGAATTGTAGTATCCAGAGGGGTTAAGTATACCACAAGAATATGAACCACAGAATCAAACAGGGCTCATAATGGCTTCACAGAGGTTGAAGTCACAAACAGGGACCCTGCATGGGTCTGAGCTAGGTCATCTATACATATGTTATGGTTTTGTAGCATGGTGTTTCTGTGGAAATTCCAACATTGGAAGTTGAGGCATCTATGACTCTTTTCCTTATGCTTTGGACCCTTTTACTCCTACTGTGTTGTCTCATCCAGCCTTGATACAAAGATTTGTGCCTAGTCTTATTGGAACTTGTTATGCCATGTTCAGTGGATATCTCTGGAAGGCTTACTTGTTATAAAGGAAAACAAAGAGGAGTGGATCTTGAGGAGAGGTGGAGAGAGGCATTAGGAGAAGTGGAGGGAGGGAAATTTGTGTTCAGGATGCAATGTATGAGGGAAGAAAAAATGGGTATTTCTATAACTAAGGCAGACAGTCAATCAAAGAGTTTTACTTAGGGTGACAGAAAATATCTAAATTGTGCATTGAATTATGTGGTTTTCACCATCATGATCTTGACTCCCTTGCTCATATAATCCCCCTTCCCTCTCTTCAAATGAACTCCAGGATCTCAGCCCAGTGCTTAGTTGTGGATCTCTGCATCTGCTTCCATCACTTACTAGATGTATAGGTTCTATGATGACAATTAGAGTAGTCACCAATCTTTTTACAGAAGAAGGCCAGTTCAGGCACCCTCTACACTATTGCTAGGAGTTTTAGCTGGGGTCATCCTTGTTGGTTCCTAGGCATTTTCCTGGCACTGAGTTTCTTCCTAATCCCATAATGGCTCCCTCTATAAAGGTATCTCTTTCATTGCTCTCCTCTCTGTCCCTCCCCCAACTTGGCCCTCTCAATCACTCATGTTCCCATAACCAATCACCTCCCTTCTACCAACCCTCTCAGTTTACCCTGGAGATATTAACTATTTCCCCTTCCTGGGATGATCCATGCATGTCCATGTCCATCCTAGGCCATCCCTTTTATCAAGTTTCTCTGGGGTTGTTGATTATAGCCTGGTTATCCTCTGCCTTGCTTCTAATATCAACTTATGAGTGAGTACATACCATGTTTGTCTTTCTGAGTCTGGGTTACCTCACTCAGGATGATTTTTTTTTCTAGTTTCATCTATTTTTTTAACACTGAGTAGTAAGCCATTGTGTAAATGTACCACATTTTCCTTATCCATTCTTCAGTAGTGGGGCATCTAGATTTTTCCCAGGTTCTGGCTATTATGAATAATACTGCTGTGAACATAGTTGAACAAGTGTCCTTGTGGTATGATTAAGCATCCTTTGAGTATATGCCCAAGAGTGTTATTGCTGGGTCTTGAGGTAGGTGGATTCCCAATTTTCTGAGAAACCATCATACTGATATCCAAAATGACAGTACAAATTTACACTCCCACTAGCAGTGGAGGAGTGTTCCCCTTACTCCACATCCTCTCCAACATAAGCTGTCATCAGTGTTTTTGATCTTAGCCATTCTGAAAGGTATAAAATGGTATCTCAGAGTTCTTTTGACTTGCATTTCCCTGATGGCTAAGGATGTTGAGCACTTCCTTAAATGTTTTCTGGCCATTTGAAATTCTTCTGCTGAGAATTCTCTGTTAAGATCTGTACTCCGTTTTTTATTTGGATTGTTTGATATTTTGCTATTTAGTTTCTTGAGTTATTTATACATTTTGGAGATCAGCCCTCTGTCAGATGTGGTGTTGGTGAAGGTCTTTTCCTATTCTGTAGGCTGTCATTTTGTCTTTTTTTACTGTGTCCTTTGCCTTACAGAAGGTTCTCCGTTTCAGGGGTCCTATTTGTTAATTGTTCCCAGTGTCTGTAGATGAATTTCTAAACAGTCTTATTAAATAAGAAACACAGAGCCAAATACAGAGTTAATAGCCAAAGAGATCAGAGAGCCACAACTACCTTATTTTACCACCTTGCTGCCATTGCTTCCCCAGAGAGAGCTTCTTCCTGTCTGACTTGTCTTTTTATTGCCTTTCTGTTCTGCCTTCTCATTAGCTCTAAACCCAACCACATGACTTCTTCATGACTGCCTGTCTATACAGACCTCCAGGTCTCTATGGTTGGTACTTGGATTAAAGGTTTGTGTCACCACGCTTGGCTATGTCCTTGACCACAGAGAGACTCTGCCTGCCATGTGATTGGATTAAGGACATGTGCTATCACTGCCTGACTCTGCTTATGGCTGCTTTGACCTCTGATCTCCAGGCAATTTTATTTATTAACATACAAATAAAATCACATTTCAGCACAAATAAAATATCACCATAAGTGTCTGTACTACTGGTGTTGTATTTAGGAAGTGATATCCTGTGCCAATGTATTCAAGGCTGCCATTTGTTTTTTGGATTGTGTCCTTTGCCTTACAGAAGCTTCTCAGTTTCAGGAGGTCCCATTTGTTAACTGAAATTCCTAATTCCTCCCTATCTGGTTCAGTATAACTGGATTTATACTGTAGACTTGGATCCATTTGGACTTGAGTTTTGTGCATGGTCATAGATATGGTTCTATTTGCATTCTTCTACATTTTGACTTCTAGTTATGCCAGCACCATTTGTTGAAGATTTTTTCCATTGTACGATTTTTGGCTTCTTTGTAAAAAATCAGGTGTTCATAAGTGTGTAGATTAGTATCAGAGTCTTCAATTTTATTCCATTGATCCAAATATTAGTTTTTATGCCAAAATCATGCTGTTTCTATTAC